TCTTTATCAAGCATCATAGTTTACTCCAGAGCAAACCAGGCTTTTTCAATGTGAGCTTGGTGTTTTGTTTTGTTTTGTTTTGTTTTTTTGCTGGCAAAAGAGCAGTAAAAAGGAATATAAGACAATGTCAGATGGGACACCAAACAAAGGTGGATGCTCAACTATCTTCAAGTAGAAGCTTCTTTCTTTCTAGCTCCCCCTTTCCATCTTCCTCCATTTTATTTGTAGCATAAGGAAGAGGTGAGAAGTTAGGGCATTTTCAGTCAGAGAAGGAGATCAGGAGGTGGGGAGAAAAAAGATTAACTTCCTTTTAAGTGGAAAAAAAATAGCTTTGTGACTTGGCTCCCGTCTGCTAGACTGGATAGAAGGATGGTCCAAGGAGATAAAATAGCCACTTTGTTGACTGTGGAGACACTTGCCCAAGGGTAGTCAACCTTGGCTCTTTTATGACTCGTGGACTTCAACTCCCAGAATTCCTGAGCCAGCCATGCTGAGGGGAAAGGGAGAGGTTTCCAAGCTGAGCCATGCTGGCTCAGGAATTCTGGGAGTTGAAGTCCACAAGTCATAAAAGAGCCAAGGTTGACTACCCCTGCACTTGCCCTTTCTCTGAAGAAGTGTTTCGGTTCTTTATCTCAGGATTTCTTCATATAGTAGCTAAACCACAATCTGGCCAGCCACATTTTTGCAAAATATGTTGCATGAAGCCATGGTTAGTTTATAGCTCAGTGTATTGGGCAAACCTAGAAAACGGTTTTAATATGGATAAGTCATGGAAATACAGCATTTAATAGAATAATAGAATAACAAAATAATAGAGTTGGAGATCTTTTAGTCCAACCCCCTGATCAGGCAGGAGACCAGATAAATGGTTGACCAGTCTCTTTTTGAAAGCCTCCAGTGATGGAGCACCCACAGCGTCTGAAGGAAAGTTGTTCCATTGGTTTATTGTTCTCACTGTTAGAAAATTTCTCCTTAGTTCTAGGTTGCTTCTCTCCTTGGTTAGTTCCCATCCATTGTTTCTTATCTTTGCCTTCTGGTGCTTTGGAAAATAGTTTGACCCCCTCGGCTTTGTAGGAGCTCCTCAAATATTGGAACATGGCTATCATGTCTCCCCTAATCCTTCTTTTAATTAGACTAGACATTTGGGAAGCTACTTTGCTGTTTTGGGCAATCAAACTATGCAAATTAAATGTATATTGGGTTGTGACTGCACAGGCTGTACATGTTTCCCTTGGTACCAGCAGACTCTCTGCCTCACCTTGCTTAATTTTTTTCCCCTGAAGTTCTTTTCATTCATAATAAAATTAACAGAAATCTAATGTGACGGAAAGTGTCGACCTCTAGAATCAGCTTTGTTTTCCAGAAAGCTTCCATGTGATTTCACAGGCAGTCACAGAAAATGATGGGGAGGTAATAATCCACCTGCCTTTTTTCGTTTTGTTTTGAAGGCAACTCAACTCGGTAATGGAAAAAGCATTCTGGGTAAGCAAAAGCATGACTTGAGAGGTAGCTTTATGAGTTTGTCCTTTAATAATTGGGCTTTTTTTTTCTTTCATGACTGATCATGCTCATCGTTTCAATGAGAACCACAATTGTTCTCAAAATTGGTCCCCAAAGAGACTTTATTTGGGTACAGATGCTAAATTTAGCTGTTTGTGCGAATCACCATCTGGTTTGGATCTATATTTTTCTTTCCCCAAATACACCAAGGATTCATGTTCTCTCTCTCGCTCGCTCGCTCGCTCGCTCTCCCCCTCTCCCTCTCCCTCTCTCAAACAATTCATGTGGTTTGGGAACTTGCTGCCATCAACCAAGGATTATTAGAATGCAATGTTACATTCTAATAACATTGCAAGCAGGCCTTGTACAAACCTAGACTTGATTCAAAGCCTTACTTAGTGAGGACATCTTTGAATTCTCTAGAAGCCTATGGCTCAATCTCCAAATCCATTGTGCATGTCCATGGCTGCTGAATACAGAAAAAGACAACAACTTAGGGGTAATCCTCAATTGATGACTACAAGAGAGCCCCAAAATTTCTGCTGCTAAACAAGGCATCTATTAAGGAAGTGTTTTCCCCCCATTTTAGGACTTTTTTTTGCCCCAGCTGTTAAGCGAATCATGGCAGTTGTCAAATAAGTCATGGGATCGTTAAGCAAATCTGCCTTCCCCACATCATCCTTGTTTGCTGGAAGCCAGCTGGGAAGATCACAAATAACGATCACATGACCCCGGTCATAAATGCATGCTAGTTGCCAAGTGCCTGAACTTTGATCACGTGACCCCGGGGATGCTGCAACGGTCGTAAGTGTGAAAAGCGGTCCTAAGTCACTTTTTCAAGGCCGTTGTAACTTCAAATGGTCATTTAATGAATGGCTGCAAGGCAAGGACGAGCTGTATTCACAGGGGTCTTGTCAGGGGGCATACATGATGGCACCAGTCTGGTGGCACCATCAGAGTGCAGTCATGGCGCAGTGGTTAGAAGGCAGAATTGCAGGCTAACTCACAGCTCACTGCAGGAGTTCGATTCTGACCAGCTCAAGGTCAGCCTTCCATCCTTCCGAGGTCGATAAAATGAGGACTCAGATTGGGGGAGAGGGGAAATAGGCTAATTCTGTAATCCGCTTAGCTAGGGCTGTAAGGCACTGTGTAGTAAGTCTAAGTGCTATTTCTCCTTCCTTCCTTCCTTCCTTCCTTCCTTCCTTCCTTCCTTCCTTCCTTCCTTCCTTCCTTCTTTCCATCCATTCATCCATCCATCCATGGTGCACAGTGGTTAGAAAGCAGTATTGCAGGCTGACTCACTTCTCATTGCCAGGAGTTCGATTCTCATTGGCTCAAGGTTGACTCAGCCTTCCATCCTTCCAAGGTCGGTAAAATGAGGACTCAGATTGTTGGGGGCAAATATGCTGACTATATAAACCGCTTAGAGAGGGCTGTAAGGCACTGTGAAGCAGTATATAAGTCTAAGTGCTATAGCTATAATTATCCAAGAACCAATCAGCTGCTACTAACTAGTATAAAGTTCCTACTTTTGCTGCTTTTCTTCAGTTTGGGTATTGTCAATCAGGGAAGTGCATTGTCCTTTTCAGTGTTCAGACTACAAGACTGCCTGCTTACCATCTGACAGAATATTTCCATCTTTTATGGGGATTCAGCCCAGCAATGCATTGATTTTATACATATATAATCACAACCCATTTTCAGCAAATAAAGGAATACTAGTTCATCTAAAAGAAGAAAAGCAATTAAATTGCTTAGTTCATCTACCAGATGGGCTATTTGGCTTGGACAGGGTAAAGGTTGAACCATTAGCAGAGGAAATATTTTTTTCTAATTGCCCTTAAATCTCACTTGTGCAGCTTAATTTTAAAAAAAAACGACGATGTATCGGAGGCACTAAAGAATCGCAAAGCAAACGGTGCAGAGGATAAAGTGGCTGCTTGCTCTTTCTCAATATTTTTATCTGTTGTGTAACCCATTGCATTTTTGTCTCATGACTTAGTGCCAAACCAAGCTGGAATTCTGACTCACTGATAAGATGTTAACATCAGCCTTATACATAGCTGAAGTGTCTGACCTATGAAGTCATCTCCCTTCCACCCTCTTCACCCAAACAAAAGGTTCAGTGATGTAAACCCTTGAGAGCTCACGCAAATATCCTGGACAAAAATGTGTTCCATTCACAAGTACATCGTGTCATGTGACTCCCACACACTGTGCCCGATTCAGTGCTTTTTATAGAGCTCTCTGTGAGAAGCTTTGCTGTGATTCTCACAAATAAGTCGTCCGAAGTCCATTGCTGATTTGATTTGGTAGATCAGTTCTCTGCAGGCCTAGAATATCCAGGATTTGCACATTCTAACCAAAGATTATTAAGTGCAGCACTTGCACCTAATCTGTAAAATCTATAGTGGCTGGAATTAGCATGAGTTAATCCAGTTTACTGATAAGAAGGACCACTTTCTGTAACGGCATGTGTGTGCATGATTAAGATGGTTAAATTGCTCAGCTATCAGCAAGAATGGATGCGAAACTGAACTCAAACTCTCTGGAAACAAGATTATATTTCCTAATTATACTCTTGACAGCAAAAGCGTTGTTAAAACAAAACAAAATATGAACAGACCAACACAGGTATTGTGTTGTGTGACATTTGCTTCACTCACAGCACACTTGAATCCAATTTCCTAACATTATTTATTTGGATTGTTGTTAATGATTGTTCTCTTGATCACTTCTGCTTGGGCTTGGTGCTGTGTAATAGGTTTCCAAGCTGCAATACAAACAGCTTTGTTTGTGGGATGTTGGGGGCATGGCAGGGATATAGCCCCTGACATAGCCTGGGAAATGAAGCTTGGGAGTTTTTTCTCAGTGTAGTGATTTAGGGATTATAGCATTAATTAAATGAGATTTCATCATGATTGCCTTATGAAATTAATTAGAGAACAGGCAAATGGCCAAGACATTAACCAGAGATACATTTCTCCTCTGTTTTGTTTTGCAGTCTTGGTGGTTATGAAAGGATAGATTGGTTCTCAATCCAAAGAACCACTTAAACCTTTTTGTGTTGGCAGCAAATTATACTGAAAACAAGTACTGAGGCCACCAGAATTAGCAAGAAAAATGCATAGCTTTTATCGCTTCCTACTTTCCCCACAATTAGGAGTTGTTTGTCATGAGATCAAGTTCTCCACGGAGCAGAGACTCTACTGCAGTGATTCTCAACCTTGGCCACTTGAAGATATGCAACTTCAACTCCCAGAATTCCCCAGCTGGCTGTGGAATTCTGGGAGTTGAAGTCCACATATCTTCAAATAGCCAAGGTTGAGAAAATCCGCTCTACTCTATGGCTTGTCACATGACCTCTAAGCACTGCAATGTGTCACATACAGTGCAAAAGAAATTCCAGTGTAAACGTTTTTGAAGGAAATAATAACGTCATCGTTCTATTTCTTGGAAATACCACTTGGTTTATTCCATGTTTTTGATGGGTTTTTCAGAATCACGTCCTCACCTTAATGTCTGTGGCTGCTCAAATCTACAAGCACCCCAGCCTGAAGAATTCTATCAACCTGGTGGTGGTGAAGGTCTTGGTGGTGGACAATGAAAAGGATGGACCAGAAGTATCTGACAATGGTGGTCTGCTGCTGAGGAACTTCTGTAATTGGCAACAATTCTTCAACCCTCCAAGTGACCGTCACCCAGAACACTATGACACTGCAATCCTGCTGACAAGACAGGTATTTAGATGCAGGTTGGCTGAGAGACATCTTGAAGATGATCTGGTAGAAGAATGGAGAACCCTTCCTTTAAAACTCAACATTCATATAATTTCCATCTTACCTTTCTCAATCACAGGATTTCTGTGGACATCAAACCTGTAGAACCCTTGGAGTGGCTGAGACTGGCACCATGTGTGATCCAAACAAAAGCTGTTCTGTGATAGAAGATGAGGGTCTGCAAGCAGCTTACACCTTGGCCCATGAACTAGGTAGCTGCCATGCCTATCTTGATGGGTAGTCTGTCATTGTATCAGAATCAATATCTGCCTTGTAGAAAAGCTACCCTTACATATTGTAGGTTGCATTCTCAAGTTTGGCCCATAAAGGAAGGATGATATATTACTTTATGGCTTTTATTATACTGGCAGTTTGGCACCAGAAAGATATGAGTGCATGTTTCAGGTGTCCATTCTTGCTTGGAAGTTCTAGTTTTGACAAGTATATTATTATATTTCAATCCTAAATCAGAACAAGTTGTTGAGACCCTAGAAATTGTGCAGAGAAGAGCAACAAATGTGATAAGGGTCTGGAGGCTAAACTGTATGATGAACAATTGGGGGAACTGTATATGTCTAGTCTAATGAAGAGAAGGGCTAAGGGCAGTGGTGGGATTCAAATATGTGAACAACCAGTTCTCTGTGTAGATGTCACTTCTGGAAGTCCATTCTGGGCCTGGGCAACAAAAAATTAGTTACCGGTTCTGCTGAAGTGGTGTGAACAGGCTGAATCCCACCACTGGCTAAGGGTGATGTGAGAGCAGTCTTCTAGTACTTGAAGGGCCATCACAGAGAAGAGGGAGTCAACTTATTATCCAGAGCACTTTTATTTTTTTTATTTTTTTTATTTTTAAAATTTATAAGCCGCCCCACTCCCGAAGGACTCTGGGCGGCTAACAATAAAAAACACATAAAACATAACAAACAACAATACAAAAACAATCATCCAGGGGTAAGGTTTTATAAACCCCAGGCCTGCCGGAAAAGCCAGGTCTTAAGTAGCTTACAGAAGACCAACAGGGTGGGAGCAGTCCTAATCTCCGGAGGGAGCTGATTCCAAAGCGTGAGCGCCATCACAGAGAAGGCCCTCCTCCGCGGCCCCGCCAAATGACACTGCTTGGTCGACGGGGCCCAAAGGAGGCCCAGCCTGTGGGATCTAACCGGACGTAGGGAACTATGAGGTAGTAGGCGGTCTCGCAAATAGCCTGTGGGCAGGACAAGAAATAATGGATGGAAGAGCATTAAAGAGAGATCCCACCTAGAACTAAGGAGAAATTTCCTCACAGTGAGAAAATTAATCAGTGGAATGGTGTGCCTCCAGGTGCTCCTTCTCTTTCAAGAAGATATTGGACAGCCATTTGTCTGGAATGGTATAGGGCCATGGTGGAGAACCTATGGCACGCATGCCACAGGTGGCACACAGAGCCCTCTCTGTGGGCATGCGTGCCGTCGCCCCAGTCCTAGACCTTCAGCTGGGTTTTATAAAACCTTTTCGCTTTAGGCCTCTGCCGCCATGTGCAAAAAAAAAAATGTTCAGTCAATCAATTTCAACTTCTTGCGGGAAAAAAAAGATCTCTCAAAGTTGGAATTGATTGATTGAACTTTTTAGTCCCACCCAGTCTGCCATTACCACCTCAGCCACACCCACCCAATGGGCCACACCCACCCAGCACCCGATGATACATAAGTGGGTTTTGGATTGCGGTTTGGGCACTCGGTCTCTAAAAGTTTCGCCATCACTGGTATAGGATCTCCTGCTTGAGCAAGGGGTTGGGCTAGAACAGGGGTAGGCATGGCTGGCTCAGGAATTCTGGGAGTTGAAGTCCACGAGTCATAAAAGAGCCAAGGTTACCTACCCCTGGACTAGATCCAAGGTCCTTTCCAACCCAATTGTTCTATGCTCTAACCACCCATTTCTCTTTCTTTACAGGACACGTGCTCAGCATGCCTCATGATGACTCCAAGAGCTGTGAAAGGCTCTTTGGGACATTAGGAAAACATCACATGATGGCTCCATTGTTTATTCATTTGAACAAGACTCTGCCTTGGTCCCCCTGCAGTGCCATGTACATCACAGAATTCCTGGATGGAGGACACGGTACATATCCTCATTCATGTAATCATACTGAGCGATGACTTGTTGGTCGATGTTTGTGCGATCAGTTTCAATCCTTGCAAACAGGATCAGGTTCACGTTTCAAAGCACCAACTGTCTCTTAATTTTATATTATTTTCTCTGCTGCAAAGTTTCCTAAAAGTCTATTTTTTAAACAGTCTAAGCTTCGATACAATTTACTTCTCAAAACATGGGTACCGAGGTATAGAACTTTTACAAACTTAATTCATAAACTCTTTAAAGTGGGGGGTGTTTGTTGTGTGTTCTGCTAACTTGATGAAGCTATATTACAATAGTTTACATCAGATTGAAGGCTCCTTGAGATAAATGGATGGGTGGATGGATGGATGGATGGATGGATGGATGGATGGATGGATGGATGCAGTGGTGGGATTCAGCTGGTTTGCACCACTTTGGCAGAACTGGTAGCTAATATTTTGTTGCCCAGGCCCAGAATGGACTTCCGGAAGCGGCATCCATACAGAGAACCGGTTGTTCACATATTTGAATCCCACCACTGGAAGGATGGATAGATGGAAGGATGGATGGATTTATTCATTGGTTTATTTGTTTGTCTGTTTTATATGGCTAGAGTAGAAGGATTAAGACAATAGCTGTGACCAATTTCTGCTTTATGGATTTCTTTAAGGTCTTCATGGAAATTTGGCTATAGGGTTAATACATTCTTTGAGACAGTCTTCCTACTCTTTCTCTTTCCCCAGGTAACTGTCTGCTTGATGAACCAGTCCAACCTATTGCCCTCCCGACTGATCTCCCAGGCAAAATATCACTGTATAACTTGGACCAGCAGTGTCAGCAAATATTTGGCAAAGAATTTCGACACTGCCCAAATGCCACACAGGAAGTCATCTGCTCCCAGCTTTGGTGCAAGTTGGAAACTGGAGAGCAACTCTGCCACACCAAAAATGGCAGCTTGCCCTGGGCTGATGGGACACCCTGTGGGCCAGGGAAAATGTGTTTGGATAGCCACTGCGTGGCACAGGATACGGTGATGCCCAAGGTAATCTTACAGTCAGACCACCTATCTCTAATAAGGTAGAAATAGCACATGAAGAACAATGATAGTGTTTATTTGGTTGGGACTGAATAAAAGCATCTATAATGGACTAAAATCAGATGTGAAGAACCAACAAAGAGAAGACACTCAAAACTTTCAAAGCTCTGTGCAATAAATGGCAGAATATAAACAGGAGAGGACAAACTTTACCTATTGCTCTCTGGCTGATTGGTTAGAATTAGAATCATCTTTCAGTTGCTACAAAGATTTTTTTCTTTATTTATTTCCTTTGTTTATATCTAACCTTTATTATTTTTATAATAAGTCAAGGAGTACCTAAGACGTCTTCCTCCTCCTATTTTCCCCACAACAGTAACCATGTGAGGTGGGTTGGGCTGAGAAAGAGGGACTGTCCCAAAGTCACCCAGTTGGCTTTCATGCCTAAGGTGAGACTAGAACTCACAGTCTCCTGGTGATTGGCCCAAAATAATCTGACCAGTTTTCACGCCTGGTGAGAACTGAAGTCACCACCTCCTGGTGCTTGGCCCAAAGTCATCTAGCCAACTTTCATGCCTAAGGCAAGACTAGAACTCACCATCTTTTGGTTTCTAGCCTGATGTCAAACTGGCTCTTCATCCAAAGCAGAGAATAGCATCTCTTGGGGACCTTTTGTCCCCAAGAGGTGTGTTCTTCTCTCTCTTTTTCTAAGACAACTGCTACACTAGTTGGAGCAAAGCAGAGCATTTTACTGTTCCTTCAACAGAGGGTAGATGGGATCAGGCTCTTTTCCCTGTGCTTTAATAGCTACCTGGGAGAGAAGACTGGTCTCTCGGTGACTTCGAAAATAAGCCATAATCCAACAATTTGTGTCTTGCAGCTTGCTGTGGATGGAAACTGGGGTCCCTGGAGCTCATGGGGGCCGTGTTCCAGAACATGTGGTGGAGGGGTGCATTTCTCTTACAGAGACTGCGACAATCCAGTGCCTAAAAATGGGGGCAAATACTGTGAGGGACAAAGAGTCCAATATGAGTCCTGCAACATTGAGGAATGCTCCCCAACCGGTAATTTCTTCTTTTATAGCAAGTGTTAGACATTTGTACTAAAATGGCTTGTTCAGAAATGAATCAATAACCCAGGAACTGGATATCTGCTAGAATTGTCTGATTTTTTTTACCCCCTCAGTTTGGCACCCAGGGTGAGGATACCTCCATTAAGGCTGTGTTAACCCAGCAGGTTTTATTGCCATTTACAGCATCCCACAGTCATGTGACTGTGTTTTACAATGGTTTTGTGGAACACAAGAATTTACTACCTATAAATTGCATCCATAGCAAATCACTGATTTGCTTAATGACTGCGATGTTTGCTTAACAACCATAGTGGTCACTGTAAAATTGGTTCAGTCACAGGACTGACCCACTTCATGACTGTCGTAAGTTATGACCCTGATGGGATGCTCCATTACAGTCAAAACATGAGGACTAGTGGCCATATGCCATAGCTGCACTCAGCATAGCCCATGTGGGACGTGAATTAAGGCAGGCTGTATATCTACCCAGTAGAATTATTTGCTTTGGAGTTGAAATGTCAGACAGATGTATTCTCAGGTAAATGCAAATTATATTTGGTGGAAATGAAGTTAGGGTTAGACCAGACAGGAGTTGTAGACTATTAATCAAATCCCTGCATTACTTTCAGGTCAGAGAAGAGAGATCAAAAGTTTTGCAAATCACTGGCCTGAAAGTGAAATGTTGAAAACAAGATTTCATGCTCTCCATGTATCCACCTTTATGTGGATTCCTTTTCTTTCCATTGTAGACAAAAGCTTTCGAGAGCACCAGTGTGAGAAATACGACAGATACAATTTCACCGATTTGAATGGAAATTTGCTAGAATGGGTCCCCATGTACGCGGGAGTGTCTCCTAGAGATCGTTGCAAGCTGATCTGCCGGGCTAAAAGAGGCAATGAATTCAAAGTCTTTGAAACCAAAGTAAGAATTCTGTTTATGCATCCACCATTTTTACAGATTTCAAAACCTCTTACACACTAAAAGTTTTCCAAATTTCCTGTTGCTAGTGTAAGCATGAATACAACTATGTTCTCCTGGCTGGGAAGAACAACAGTGTTTCTTATAAAATTGGGGGGGGGCAGGAAATCTATGTTTCCCTTGAGGTATAGATGAATAACTCCCATCCATCAGAATGATTACATCAGTCTTGGTTGGCCAAACACATCCGTGCCTCCTTTTGTGTAGCTACTTACAAAGTTTATCTAGAGAGGAGAATCCCTATTTTGCGAGACAAATACTATGTTTTCAGTATTAATATTACTAATTGTTATAAGGACAAGAAGTAAGGGGGGGGGAAGCTCATTAAAGAGGGATCCAGCCTAGAAGTAAGGATAAATTTTCTGATAATGAGAACAATTAATCAATGGAATAGCTTGCCTCCTGGAGTTCTGGGTGCTCCATCACTTGAGGTTTTCAAAAATAGACTGGACAGCCATTTGACCGGGATGGTATAAGGTCTCCTGCTTGAGCAGGGGATTGGACTAGAAGACCTCCAAGGTCCCTTCCAGCGCTACGATTCTATGTTCTATGTTCGATATCTGCCACATTTGCACACATTTACCAAATGTACAGAAGAATCTGAACGTATCCACATGTGCCCAAACCCACATGTTTATTTTGTAGCACAAGATACCCATCCATTGATGGAAAGTAGAAGCATAAAAAAAATACTATTAATAAAACAAGAATTGACCACAACAAAAAACCAATAGCTCTGCACATTCTCCTTGAGAAAGCTGTACAAAATGTATTTAAAGAAATGTGTTTCCAGCCATTAGATATACACCAAAGAGTAATAATGGGTAGATCAACTTCATTTTATTCTTCCTTTCTTTCCCTACCAGGTGATTGACGGGACAACATGTGCACCTGATACACTCTCTCTGTGTGTGCATGGACAGTGCATCAAGGCTGGTTGTGATCATATTATTGGGTCTTCCAAGAAACTAGACAGATGTGGCGTTTGTGGTGGGGACTGCTCAACTTGTAGGAAAATATCCGGCTCACTCAACAAATCCAAGTAAGAGAAGCCCACAAATGTTTTGCAAAGCTTGGCGAAGAATACACAGTGCCCAGTTAGAGCTGAGTATAGAGTTCTGATGAACACACACACACACACACACAAATCCAGAAAAATAATCTTTCAGTGACCATTGAGATTAAAATCCAGAAATTCTTCCTAGAACAGAATGTGTCCTTTTCCAAATTGTTTTGCACTTTCAATGCTAATATGAAAAAGGTGGGAAAATAAATAACTAGGATTAATCATCCTTATTTAGAGTGCCATAGTGGCCTAGAGATGCAGATGCTTGCCTCACACTCGGAGGTTGAGAGTTCAGTCCTAGGCAGGGACAGATGTTTCTCTGTCAGGGCGCTGCAAAATATCTGCTGTGAGCTCCATATAGGGGTCAGGAAGGGCATCCGGCCAGCAAATGCTCAGCTTCATTCAGTTGCCCCGACTCATCCCCAATAAAAGGGATTACAGGGTCATAAAAAGAAGAAAAGAAAAAACCCCAGAGTATTCATATTTAATTAACTGTATTTTACATGTAATTGGCATCCATTTTGTATTTTGTTTTCATCCCACCATTTGTATGTCCTGAATATTTTTGAAACTAGTAGCCCCTTTCAAAGGCAAAGAGTCACCCTCAATGCAAAAAAAGCACCTGAATAACATAGCAGAATATGATGAAAAGGAATGGTTTCATTTTACCCCTTTGGAACCCCTGGTATTTAACAGTGCAGTGCAGGCATAGGGCATTTTTGTTACCATTCCTGCACATAAGAGTCTTTAGAGATGCCAAGGTCAGTTACAATTTAAAGCAGGGGTCCCCAACCCCCAGTCTATGGACCAGTACCGGGCCAGCAACCTGTCCGCATAAACAAGGAAAGCCCCATCCACAGGATGCAGACAGCACACAAAACCACATCCCCTCCAGTCTGCGGAAAAACCTCTCTCCATGAAACCAGTCCCTGGTGCCCAAAAGGTTGGGGACCTCTGATTTAAAGCGTTTTAGCCTCTGCAATTTCCAAAAGAAAATAGGGGAGCTGGATGCTTCTGGATATGGAGCGATAGATGTTGTTCTTCAGCAAACCTTTGTTCACACTGCTGTTTAGCTGACGTTAACACCCATTTCTCTCATCTCTGTAGGTTTGGGTACAACGATGTTGTCACTATTCCAGCAGGAGCAACCAACATTGACATCAAGCAACACAGCCGACGAGGAGTGAGGCATGATGGAAATTACTTAGCTCTGCGGACCCTGGATGGCAAATACCTACTGAATGGAAACTTCACTGTCTCAGCTATGGAACAAGACATTTTTGTGAAGGGGACTGTCCTGAGGTACAGTGGCTCCCTGACCACGCTGGAACGCCTCCAGAGTTACCAGCAGCTCCCCGAATCCATCGTGGTTCAGGTGTTGACTGTTTCCAGTGAGATGCTCCTCCCAAAGGCATTTCCCCCACCCAAGGTGAAATATACCTTTTTTATCCCCAAGGACCTCCAATTCAGCAAGCAGAAGATCAAGGAGAAAAGCTTGGCCAACATGATCAAGCCCTTGCTGACCTCACAATGGGTGCTGGGAGATTGGTCGGAGTGCTCCAAATCTTGCAGTTCGGGTTGGCAAAGACGAACCGTAGAATGTCTGGATGTGGAAGGGCAGCCTTCATCCACCTGTGACAAGGCCCTCAAGCCTGTGGACATCAAACCGTGCAGTGGTCTTCCTTGCCCGATCTGGCAGATGGGACCCTGGTCCCCCTGTTCCCAAACATGTGGAGAAGGAGTGCGGACACGAAGTGCCTTGTGCATTGACTACCTAGGCAAACCTGTTGCCTTTGAGAAATGCAATTCATCGCAGCCCCCAGCAGCGACTACGGTCTGTCTGCTCCAGGAGTGCTGAAGTGAACGGAGGGCTGACATGCAATCCAAGAAGCCTCTGTAACTTAGTCTAACTACTAACCTAACTCAAACTAGGCTTGGCATCTCCAAGCAAGGAAGTAGTTTTAAGGCCAATGGGCACTCATTGACTTGAAGAAGCCCTATTTCCTATACCTGTTCGAAAGATTAGAAGGCATTGATTTCCACCACCACGACCCCTCTCTCTCTTTCTCTTTTGTGCTTTGTTTTCCTCCAAATTGACATCTACCTCAGTGGGGGAAAAAATAGAATTTTTGATAAATCATTTGATGTTTTGGAGAAAAAAAAATGTCTGCAGGTCAATACTTGGTAATTAAGGGAAATTCATGTCCGATCTAAGCAGTCCCTGCAGGTGAGCCAAAACTCATCTGCAGCTTCACTGTGGGTTGGATTTTAGAGACATTATTTAAGATGCTGTTATTCTTGCGATGCAATGGTAATCCCCATCAACACAGTTGTGTGCATCCTTCAGTTAGCAAAACAGCTACAGTCTTTGGGGAGGGCGGGCATACAAGATTCTATCTTTGATACTGGCAACTGGTAAGTCAGTCCTTGGTTCAGTTGATGCAAATGAAGATCGGGGTTGCTAGTTTGGACAAATCAGTCCCAGGGAGTTTATTGGGATGATCTGCAGTCTTATGCAATGTTTCTTCAAAGACAGTTTAGTCATTGACCATACAACCACAACTGAGCCCAACTTTCTGTCGCTACGCGAGACATTTGTTAAGTAGGTTCCATTTCTGTCGCTACGCAAGACATTTGTTAAGTAGGTTCCATTTTACAACCTTTCTTTCCACAGTTGTTAAGTGAATCACTGCAGTTGTTAACAGCTAGTAACCTGTGAACTCGGCTTCCCCATTGACTTTGCTTGTCAGAAAATCAGAAACGGTGATCACATGACCCAGGGGTACTGCAATCATCATAAATATAAGTCAGTTATATCAAGTCTCTGAATTTCGATCACATGATCAAGGGGGATGCTGGAACAGTTGTCAGTGTGAAAAACAAGCATAAGTCACTTTTTTCAGTGCCGTTGTAACTTTGAACAGTCACTATACAAACCGTTGTAAGTTGAAGATATCTGTATTAAGCTGAGGACAGTCATCAGCTGGCTTTCTCTGCGATTGACTATGAAATCTTTATCAATAGTTATCAATCTTTATTATAGGTCCTCCTGTTAGATGAGATGTTATTCTACAGCCCACTCATATTACCATTCATCTTAGCCCTGGAGATTCAGAATAACAGATGTAATCCGTGCTTCCCTTTGTGCTCATATATCTTTCATCATTTTGGAAGCTTAGGTAGCAATATGGATGCCAGCGCTGGAGGAAAGATAACTAAAAATATATGGGTAGAATATGCCTCCAGATCCATTCTAATATTAGGGTTGAGTGTATGATTAATATTTCTCCTTCCCTCCATTTTGTGGGGGGGAAAGGATACAATCTTAGAATCACTAAAATGCACTAAAGTAGGGTTTTTATTGTACTTTCCTAAGATTGTTTGGTAATGTTGTTAAGAAGTGTCCCTTGTCACTCGCTGACAAAAATTCACCTTTGGAAGCTGCAATTTGTAGATCAAGAAATGAGGTCAGCAAACAAATGCTGTGAATACTGACCAAGGAACATTTATCCAAATTACTAGGGCATGGTGATCCACTGCATAATGCAAACAAAGGCACTTCAGTAGTCTCTTGACTCTTTGCTTAGGTTAATCATAGTTTACCTTTTCTCAACCAGAGAAACTCTTCATTATTTCTAGTCTTTCATGTGTTTCTTCAGCTTATGCATTTATCAAAAGGGCCATTTCAAAAAAAAAAAAAACCACATATAACTTTTTGATCAGATTCCTTATTATTTGTAAATAAATGTTCCGGTTTTAGTGTGACTCAAATGGATGTGTCAGTATTGACATTTGTATCTCCAACCTCTTGGGATTTTTGTCTTCGGTCTAATTTTCAGACTAAAGTCACTCAGTACAGTACATGAAATGGGAAATTGGTGCTTAATACATCACCACTATTCTACAATGGGTAGCAAAGTTCTAGCTGCTTTTCGGCACTGTGCTCAAAATGATGTTAACATACTAACACCTCCGATCTTGATGGTGACCTTATTCTCCTATATTAAGCTTTAGCCTTTTTCCATAATGAATTCAGAAAATGCAGAAAAATGAATTCTCTTTTTGTCCTTGCAGAGTTCACTATGTCTCTCCATTTGCTGCACCCTCAACTTGAATTGTCATTCTGGGATTTTGTTCCCTGCAGGAGCTTCTGTGTGACTTATTTAGGAAACAGTGCATTTTCTCTAGACGAACAAGGACGTCTGCCTTTGAAAAGTGTGGTTCAAAAAATAGCATCAATAGCATAGTTCTTTCCACTCTTAAATTATGCTGATCTCATAAGGAATAGTTAAAGGGAAGCCAGATAGTTTGATGTTGAAAGGGAGCGAGTCCCAGTTCTGGAACAAAAATAAGATCCTGTTCAGAGAACATGTGTTTACAAGTGGGCTTCGTTGTATAACTACAAAGTGGTACATGGTCAGCCCTGGCCTTTACTTTGCATTTGTCCCTTATGGATACAACTGAGTTCTACCTGGTGAAACACAAAGATACAGAGACTTGCAGCAGGTTTATCTATTTATTTATAAAATGTATCGGCTGCCTGTCTTATACCATGGGGTAACATATTCAGTTAAAACAAAAAAAGTTACAATCAGACACTAAAACCAAGGTACATGGGGAGAGCAGGGATGGAGTGGGGGGGGAGGTGGGATCTGTTATTACTTAATCAACCACCTCCGTTGTGCTGTTCTGCCATCGGAACCCCAAGCCGACTGGCAGAACCAGGTCTTTAGGCCCTTATGAAAGGATAGGAGAGTTGGGGGCAACCTCACATTGGAGGGGCAAGATGTTCCAGAGGGCAGGAACCACAACAGAGAAGGCCCTCCTTCTGAACCCCACCAGCTGGAATAATTGGGCTGACTGGAACCCAGAGCAGGCCTCCTCTGCCAGCAGGAGTGGTACGGGCCAATCCCAGTGGGGTGACATGGTCCCTCAAGTATGGTTCTTCCATTTCTTGCTGTGTGCAAATAGCCAACATTTTCTTCTTTAAGACCACTGCAGATAGATAAGATTGTTCATAATTATATATTAATAGAATGGGGGGGGGAACGTGCAGATTTTGATTCTAATAACTATGTGTAGAGGAAGCTAGGCTGGAGTCCCACTTAAGATTCTGCTGAACTTCTGTCTGCATTGGAACTGCAAACTCAGTCTAGGGAGGGACTGTCTGTCTGCCTTTAATTCAGTCCCCGTGCATCTCCACTGAGATCATTATCCTGTCATTGTCTTTTATTTGCTATCTGCTATAGAGCAGGCAGATCTTCTTCCTGGGCTGAACTTCTTCCTTCCCAGCTCGGAATCCTGCCAAAAGCACGCGGAACTGCCAAGGCATATTTCTGGTCCAGACTGTCTGGCCTTAAAGCAGACATCCAAATCAAGTGAACTTCTACCTTTTTAAGCAAGCTGTATTTGATTTGCACTGAGGTCTGAGGCTCCCTAGTAGTGTGAAATATATTCAAAAAAAGATCTTCCAGAATACCAAGATTCTCTGCTTTGGGATACATTTGGAGAGGGGGAACAATTTATTCAAGAAAGATCTTTCTTTCTCTGCTTTTCTGAGGTTCCTTCACTTTCCATCCAGCAGATGTTTGTATCTGACTGCACTGTGTTTTTGAAACGTAACATTAACATCATGCATCTTTTCTTTTCTTTTTCTTTCTTTCTTTCTTTGTTTCTTTTTCTTTCTTTCTTTCTTTCTTTCTTTCTTTCTTTCTTTCTTTCTTTCTTTCATAATTCCTTGAAGATTTGGGAATATACTTCTTCCCATCTCACTGGAAAATTACCATTTGAAGCAGCAGATGTTAGCATTTTCTGCTGAATATATCCACTCTAGGGAAGATGCCCGACTGTCTTTTCAAGCATCGTACTGTGCTTCTGCTGACCTATAACGCCACTTTCCAGTTTTCTGCTTGATCCATTCAACATCAAGCAGTAGACACCTTGCCTATTAATTGATAGGGGAGAATGGGACTGAAATGGATTTCATTCTGCAATCTCTAGCACAGTGTTTCCCAAACTTGACAATTTTAAGGCATGTGGACTTCAACTCCCAAAATTCCACAGCCAGCAATGCTGGCTGTGGAATTCTGGGAGTTGAAGTCCACATGCCTTAAAATTGTCAAGCTTGGGAAACACTGCTCTAGCAGAATCTCTAACACGGGATACTCATCCTCTCCATCAAGTAGATCATCTGAGGACCTGCTATAATAGGTAGGATGCTTGCTCACAATGACATTTTTGCTCAGGCAGCATCAGCCATTTTGCCACAAGAAAAAAAATATATTGGCTTTTGTATTCAACATGTGAGTTGCAAAGTAGTAAGTGGACCATAAAAGAAGCAGTTTGAAGTTGGTTATTTCCTCTATTTAAAAAGATTGTGCAGTTAATATCTCGGGATTGTAGAGTGGATTTCACACAACCTAGCTTTGATGTGCTAGCGTATTATGTACAAAGTTTCTTTACATGGAGGGGAAAGAAGATTCAGTTCATCCCAAAAGTACTTTTCCGAAAGGCAACTGGACTTTCTTGTTTGTTTGTTTTTCTTGAAAACTTTTCGCTTCTCATCTAAGAAGCTTCTTCAGTTCAGAACAGAGGAAGCTTCTTAGATGAGAAGTTTGGGGTTTTTTTTCAAGGGGAAAAAAACCCTAAGACAGTCCAGTTGCTTTTTGGAAAAGCACCTTTGGGACAACCATGATCTGGACCAGGGGTCTTCAAACTTGGCCCTTTTATGACTTGTGGGCTTCAACTCCCAGAATTCCTCAACCAAGCATGCTGACTGAGGAATTCTGGGAGTTGAAGTCCACAAGTCATAAAAGGGCCAGGTTTGAAGACCCCTGGACTATAGGATAGCTCTATAAGTATTTATTTCTCTTGGACTCCACTCTGAACGAATGACTGTGGGTTATAAATGATATTACAAACTCCTGAGATCCTTCTTCCTACATCTAGAAATCTATGGTGCATCCCTAAAGAATTGTCATATACTACAAAGGACTATCCGTTGTGTTCATTCTCAGGTCACTTGTCATGTGTTGGGATGACCCATCCCAAAGCAAGGAGCTCAGAATGTACCCAACACTGTCCTCTTGTGGCTGTGTATCGCAATGGAAAGAAAACAAAGGTAGCAATTTGCAATCTCTCTGCAATGGATTTTTTGAATTCACTCATTTTCATTTGTCAATGAACAGATAAAAGAGAACTTAACAGTAGTAACAGCCCAGTCTTTTCATGACTAAAACCTTGATAACCAAGGATACCAATTTCTATATCCCAAATAAGCCTGGGATATTAGACAGATGTATAGCGAGCCTAAATAATAGTGGATTCTGGGTAACACTGCAAGTACAGTCTCACAAACAGTGATTCTACAGATATTTATCATTCACCTAAAGGATAGCAACTGGAGAATTTCAGTTAAATTCCCTGTTTAAATGATCAAACAGCAGTACCTGCCTGCGTGAATCAATCCCATTTTAAGAACACAAGTAAAGGATTATACCACACAAAGACTGGAATCACACATCACACTAATACGGGGTTCATGACTGGGGTGGCACATAAATAGCGTAAAATATGTAAAGTGATTTGCTTTTGAATTAGTGCATTGTGAGAAACGCAGCCAATTGGGTCTTATTGCACAAATCATGATTTAATAAACTACGGCTTAGAATAATGTACGCACCAGTTCCACAGATATTTTAGTATCAGTCTCCAAATAAATGCAAACATTGCTTTATAAGTTCTGTTGATCCCAATCCATAAGCTTCTCAATGGGAAGATGCAAAAGATGGATCTATACTTCCAACCATTAGCAAGTCAATAAAAGATATGCTGAGTTGTTGGATTTGGAAAAAGTGCTGGGAATCCTTTAACACAATCTAGTCCTCATAACACTGGGTCTCAAATTCCCAGAGGAAGGGGGGGAAAGACTGAGTTGAAACAAAATCAGAATCTCCTTAGATGGAAACATCTGGGACTTTTGGATGTGATGACTGTACCACTTTTTTTAGGTTTTTCACACACCCCTCCTTCAATAAAGCTATCACATCTGGACTGAAAAACTCCAGTGAACCATGAAAGATACAGAAAACTCTTCACTCTTAGTCTCCATAATTTTGCAGTGCAGACTGGATATCCCATTCTGAAACCATGTTGCATCTTTCCGCAATTCAAATTCTGTACTGACTGCCATCATCCTTCCTGCCTGGGTCTGTATCATACTTACCTTAGCTGCATTTTAAAAAAAATACTTGTCTGGCTTAGCTATTCTTTTCAAAAAGACATGTAGCATTTATGGTAATGTATGCAAAATAAATTACATATAAGATTGATATGTATATAGTTTCCCTTCAGTGAAGGATTTGTAGCACTGTACTGAGCCTCTTTTGAAAGATATTTATTTGTGTACAGTAACTGTTTGGGTAAGTGAGAGTGAAGGGATGGTTATTGCAGAAGGACTTGCCATCTCTCAGACTTACCCAGCTGCATTTTGTTTGAGGGGAAAGGAAGGTGAAGGAGTCTCACTCCCTTCTCCTAACTGTGTAGTTGTGTATCAGCACAATTGGACATGCAAAACCAAAAACCTCATTTGAGTCAAGCCGACAAAAATAGGTTTCTAATTTTATTTAATCTTTTATAAATAACAAAAATCCACCTTACTTCCTCTTTCTGCCCTTTCCTTTAATCTTTAGAAACAGATAGCTGGATTGTAATACTAGCCTTCAGCTGTAAATAAAATACTTCCTCGGTTAAAACCTTCGTTTTGTTTCCCTTGTCTTCTTTTTTTCTTTTTTCGCAGTTGAGATGCGTTCCAAATATCTGTAGCTATAAAAACATTAAACTTACATACACAATTTTTTGATTAAGGTAGAACTTAGATCAGACATGTCAAACACAAGGCCCGGGGGCCGGATGCCAATGTACAATTTTGTGGTCGTCATCTATGCTGAAACGCATTCAGTCTTAACTCCACAAGGCCGTCTGGAAACAGCGAGGAACCAGCCCGCCGCATCGGCTCTACCCCCTGGGTGCATGCTGGGGAAGTGTCACCCTTTGTGAGGAATGAAGAAATGCACCATCGCCTGGAAGTGGCCAGCAAGTGGCCCTCGCCTACTTCACATATCCGGCTTGATGGCCTCTGCCCTGGTCCCATCCCCTTCTGCCAGAGACCCTCAGATCTGTCCCACTCCTGCCCAGGCCCCCACAGGCACCCTTGACGCAAATGATGTAGAGCTGGCCACGGCCATCCAACAGGCCACACCCACTCCATCAACGCCCACCCAGTAGGTCGCACCCACCTGGCCCCGAGGGCAACTGCAATGTTGATGCGGCCCTCAATGAAATTGAGTTTGACACCCCTGACTTAGATTATCTGTAGTAGGGTGGCAGCTGGTACATCAAGCTGCAATCAACTTCTCATCTCAAGTAGGACAATCAAGCTATCAAACCTGGCTCCTTGATCCTTCATTTGAGAAGGCAATAACAAAATGCACACGTGACTGAGACTGACATATTCTATGTCTCTGGTAAGGCTCGGGTTTTTCTCGACTTTTCCTTTTAAAAAACAAACCAAAAACTAATGTTAGTTTAAGACTATTTCATGGCTTACGTAGCAAGTTGTAAGGTATTTTTGAGAGATATCCTCTCAAAAAACAGGAAAATGCACTTTAAATTTTGGACAATCAAACTATTGAAAAGACCTCAAGAACTTCAAAAAATGGTTTAAGAGCCACTTGCGACCCTGGGATGGAAAACATTGCTCAATATAGCTCCATATCAACGCTGTGCCACTCTCCAATTAGAAGTACAAAAAATTCGTTTCTTTCCTTCCTTTCTAGATTACAGCTAACTATAGCAAGTCCTACCCAGAGAAAGAATTTAGGAGGATAAATTTATTTTCAGATTCCAAGAACTATGCCTTATTTTATCACTAAGAACATTTCAGTTTATTTAATATGTCTCTTTCTATTAATGATCTTGGAAGCAAATTAATTTTATTTTCAAAATACGACATAATTGCTGATATAATTCTTCTGTTTATATATAAATGCTGAACAAAGTACATTGATTCACTACAATGAATTATCTAGCATTCAACGTGAAGATGGCAAACATTTAAGTAAGATATACAATACAAAAAAAAAATCACATTTGCTCTTGAAAATTGGCTGTGTGTCTTCTTCAGAGAACTTTTAAATAGCCAAGGAATTGCAACAATTTAAAGAAAAAAAATCTGTGCAGACACTATTCCAAATCAGAATAAGGCCATCTATGTAGAGGAAGTTGATGTGCTGAACTGAGTTGCTCATATTTTTTGGACTCCATTTTCCATTATCCTCAGCTATGTATTCCAACAAAGGATTTGGAATGTATAACAGGGATCTTCAAACTTGGCAACTTTAAGACTTGTGGACTTCAACTCCCAGAATTCCTCAGCCAGCCAGGGCTGGCTGAGGAATTTTGGGAGTTGTCGCCCACAAGTCTTAAAGCTGCCAAGTTTCAAGACTCTTGACCTAAAACAAAGAAGGACATCAGATGAACCATTTGTTCTAATTTCTGCTAATAATGAAGTGGTTGATTGCAAAGCCTATGTTCCTATCTGCATAGAGCTACGAAGCAATTGGGGAAGTTGCTTAGTTTAACCTGTCTCACTCTATTGAACGCAGCATTGTGAGGAGCAGAAACATCCCCTTCCTAGGAACTAGTTCCTGAGATATCATTATAATATGTAATATAATTATTAAAAAACTATAGCACAATTCATGCACACATATTCCATTATAAACGCTGCAAATGGGTAGAGTCTCCCGTACGATGTAGGATGTTTTTTTTTCCCCCTCACTTCTACAAGGGATTTACTCGCATCTTAAAAATAACCTTGTGCAACATTACAATGTGATAGAACATAGATCTATAATGGCATATCACCCATGAAAAATGAACAATTCAATTCTGAATT